AAAAAAAAAAAAAAAAAAATGGACACTGACGACGCTGATGAAAGAAATCGCGTAAATTTTTCATGTCGAGGATCGTTAAGTACAGGTAACATCGGCAGCCAATATTCTCGCCGATTCACAACGTTTCACCCTCGTCTGGTACGACAGTCTGAATAAATAATTCACGGCGCAAAGAAGGGGCCGTGTCTTTCGCCCGAGTCGCGTTTCTCTTCTCTCTCTTCGTACGCTTTTTGCCCCGATCGGGCAGCCGGCCTAATGCGATAACGAGTCGCGGATGCCTCGTAATGAATCATTTACCCCTGTAATGCCGAATCTTTCGTGCGTTTTATTGCCGGAAATGAGGTGGAACTGCATTTCGTCGCGGAGGCTATCTTTTTTTCGATCTGCGCGGGCGAAGGTATGAGACCGATCGTTAATTTGTGTTTGACCTAACTTCAAGGACACCGGCTCAGAAATTCTTCAGTATCTTCGAATTTGGTTTCCTGTCGATAATAAAGGATGGGACTGGTTGACGTAAATCAGTGAGAAGAAATTGCAAATGGGTCGAAATGACAAATAATTTTTATTGAAACGATCCCCTCCCCCTGTATTTTTCTTTGTATCGACGAGACGCAGATAATTTATCTTCGAGAATTTAATTAAAATTGTACGTGAGTCCAGAAAAAAAAGAAAGTAAAATGTGACTAAACAAATGGTTATAGGACTGGTTAACGTGAGTTAATCGGGAGAAATTGCAAATTGAAATGTCACCTTGGTGCAACGTTAAAAATTCTTTGTATCGTCGCAAATGTAGATATCTTTGAAAATTTAATTGACATCCTTCTTGGACATGCTATCTCTGGGAATATCGTAATTTCCAGCACCGTGACATCAATTCGGGAGCAAACCACACGTATTTTAGGCGAGTTCTAAAAGTGAAATATGATGGAAATAACCTTCTGTGGCTACAATGATGAAAAATAATAGAATAGAAAAACGTTACGCTGTGCAAAAACATCTTTGGAAATTTAATTGAAACCGTCCTTGGATATTATTTATTTCCGGGAATATATCATAATTCGTAGTGACATCGACTCAGAAAATAAATCACACGTATCTCACGCGTGAATTTCTGAAATGTTGCTATCTGCATGCTTATCCCTCTGTACATTCATCTCTGGATAAACGACCAGAAGATCCCTCTCTCGCGATATCTCAGAAAAGATTCTCTTTCCTCCGAAAATACCGAATGCCTCGAGTTCGACGTTATCGGCACCCGGCCTCGAAGAAGTTTTCGCCTCGATGCTTCGTTTCTCAATCCATTTTCTTTCTTCGTCCTTCCCTTTTTTCCCCACTTTCTTTGCTTCCCTTATTATCGCTACCGCGAAATCGTACGTTATTGTTCGAAAAATCCATTCGCGGCGGTTTCGCAACGGTGGGGAGAGCATTTGCGTCGGCTTTCGGCGCGCGTGTTCCACGCGAAGATGGGAAAAGTTTTTTGAGAAAAAAAAAAAAAACACGGTTGCTCACAGAAGCGATATACGAAATAAACGCTTTAGCCGCGAAATTTCGCAGGGTGATAAAAGCATCGTCGTCGCCGCCGCGAGAACTCGGCTCGTTCCGAAACGCGAACCTAAATTCTGCGTCGTGAAAAAAGAAAGAAGTCTAGATTATTCGTTTAAAGTCTGGTTTTTCGGGATGTTAGCTCTCGCGAACAAAACCACGCGGGGGAAATTAGGGCCCTTGATTATGTTTACCTGCTAGCTCTGGGGCTCTTTCGAGAAAAAGCTAGAAAGCTGAGAGTTTCCGCGACGTTGTAGATTGCAAGCAGGAATGTAAAAACACAACGAAGAAAGAAAAAAAAAAAAAGGGGGATACAGAATACATTCACGCGTGACTTCGCCCCTTTTATCGCCAAGGGAAGAAAAGTAGGAACGTTTCACTTGTCGCGCGATTTCAATTCGTTCGCAGAAATTTAAATTGAAAGTTAGAAATCTCTCAAATCGGGGGACGAGGTCAATGCAAATCCACGAAACGAGAAAGGACCAAAGGTACGTGGAAAGCTCTCCGAACGAGAGCCGTAAGGAGTCTAAAATCTTCATGGAGGAAAAATTTAGAAAAGAGAGCTCCTGAAAATCAAAACTGATCAAGAATCTTCGTATCGAAGCTTCGCCGACGAAGCTGCAAATTATACGAAAGCAAAGGAAAAAGAAAAAACCCAGAAAGAGTAAATGTTCATCAGAAGGTGGGGAAAATAAACGGAGAAGAGGAAAGAAAGGGAGAGAAAAAGGCAGATATTTGTACGAACCGCTTAATCCGGTGCTATACTGAACGCCATTCAACACGCCCCTGGCGACCTGTGCAGTCTCGAGTTTGTACGTGTCCTGCAGCCTCATCAAAGCGACAGCCGCGCCGTTAAGGTCCTCGTCAGTTGGGAATTTCAGGTCGCTCCTTGAACTGGTGATATTAGCGACGAACGACTTGCCCACGTCCTGGGTGATCAGCTCCTCCACCCGTTTCCAATCGGTGGTCAGCCTTTTCACCAACAGATACGCGTTGATCGGATTCGACAGGTACTGCTGTATGTTCCTCGAGGCCTCCTCGTGCTCCCTCGCGTAATCTTCCACGTTTCTGCAACAACGAACGAACGCGGGATTTATTTGCACGGTGCAACAATTTCTGTATACTCGTTCGAACTCTCGGTCGCCGGAACGAGGGGGAAAGTCCCGTGGCGCGAATAAATTCACGGTTGCTGCAAAGTAAGGCTTTGTAACGAGTTCCTCCTAGTCTTGCAGAGTTTCTTC